GGGAGATCGAGGGCAGAGGTGTCAGGGTCCCAACTGTAACTTGCAGGATTTGGGGACTCTGGTTGGGTTCAGTGGTCTCACCCAGACTCCCCTGACACACATCTGTCCGGCTCATGTCCTCACAGATGAACTGGGGCTCAGCACAAAACTCCTGGGGGTGATGGAGATTCCAAGCCTCAGCCAGGAAAGGGAGAAAAGGAGCAACTGGGACATTAGTTGCCTGAGTCCCCTCCAACCCTCACTGCTCCAGAGTAATGAACACCTCCAACCCCACTGGAGGATTGTAAAGCCTCCTGGCAGGCGTAGGCTTCCCTCGACTTTCCGGGACCCAGGGTGGCTGAGCCTGCTCTGGGCTGGTCCCACAGTCCAGGCCCCCTGCCCTCCTCCCTCAGACCCAGGAGTCCAGGCCCCCAGCCCACCTCCCTCAGACCCAGGAGTCCAGGACCCCAGTCCTTCCTGCCTCAGACCCAGACCCAGGAGTCCAGGCACCCAGCCCCTCCTCCCTCAGACCAGACCCAGGATTCCAGGCCCCCAGCCCCTCCTCCCTCAGACCCAGGAGCCCAGGCCCCCAGCCCCTCCTCCCTCAGACCCAGGAGCCCAGGCCCCCAGCCCCTCCTCCCTCAGACCCAGGAGCCCAGGCCCCCAGCCCCTCCTCCCTCAGACCCAGGAGCCCAGGCCCCCAGCCCCTCCTCCCTCAGACCCAGGAGCCCAGGCCCCCAGCCCCTCCTCCCTCAGACCCAGGAGCCCAGGCCCCCAGCCCCTCCTCCCTCAGACCCAGACCCAGGAGTCCAGGCCCCAGCCCCTCCTCCCTCAGACCCAGGAGTCCAGGCCCCAGCCCCTCCTCCCTCAGACCCAGAGCCAAACCCCGAGCCACACTTTACATGGGGCCTCATCCATTTTACTCCTTTGGCCTTCTCTGAGTCCGGCCCCAGCTGGTCATAGCCAAGAGCATCTGGGCCAGCAGGGAAGTAGGGATCTCGGAACAGGATCCCCTCATCCAGGCAGGCTGCTTGGATTGCCTCATAGCTCTGGCCTCTAAAAGGCTTCGGGTCCCGGGCTCCAGGTCCTTCCTCCTCGTCCACCAGCTGGATGGTGACCTTCCCGCTGCCACACGCCATCTGGATACTCCAGGCTCACAGGCTCGCCCCAGGCCCTTTAACCTCCTGAGTCACGGGGGGTGGGGCCTCCCTCCCTCTGAGCCCGGATGGGGGTCTTTAGGCAGCGAGAAGCCTTCCCTCATTAATACTAATTGATGGTTTGGGGTGCAGGGGAGCATGGACGCCTCTTCAGTGGTTTCCTCCCCGGGGCGTGGGGCCTTCAGTTGTGGCCAGGATAGCAGCTTAATGGGCTTGGCCAGCAGCAAGAGAGGAGGGCAGAGCTGAGGGAGGACCGACTGCCACTGTGGGGGTTCCTAGAAGGAGGTCAGTGTGAGGGGTATGTTTCTGCAAGCGTGTCCCAGGGTGTCTCCCTCTGTGGGGCTGGGGCAGCATGTCTACTGCTGTACCCATCGCCTCCCTCTCGCCACCTGACATTTTCTCTGCCTGCCTTTGTATCTCCACCTCGGCTTCATTCTCTGTCCACCACCCTCATCGCCTGTCTCCCTCTGGTTTTGTCTGTCTTTGTCCGTACTTCCCTTGTCCCTCGCCCTCTTTGTCTCTTTCTCAGTGTGCCTGCCTCGCTGCCTGTCCTTCTCGGCCCTTCTCTCTACCCTGTAACTCCTCAGTGAGCCGCAGCGAGGCCAGAGCCATCAGGACGCCCGGCTCCCTCCTCCCCGACAAAGCAGGTCTCAGCTTGGCTGCCTCAGGCAGGGCTGCTCTGGGCTGGGAGCCCGGCCCCCTGGGGACCATGACACCCTGCATTGCCTGCAATGACTCAGGGCCTGGTGGAGCAGTGTTTCTGCAAAAGGATGCTGGGGCCATTGGAGGAAATGGGCAAACTAGGCTCTGAGAGGCCAGAAATTCACCAGTTTTTGTCCCAGCAGACCTTCCACCCTCAGTGCAGGTCTCCTGCCCTGGCAGAACCTTGTCACCTCTGTGGCACCCAGATGTCCCTCAGCTTTCTGGCATCTTTCCCTCTAAGTGGACCAATAGATACTATTTGAGCCCCTCAGCTATATGGCCACCAAAAGAGGGTTATAAAACAGGTTTTCTTCCTGCAGAATTGTCAAGACCACCCCCACCTGCGTGAGGCAGGTGACAGTGGTTAGGAGCCAGAGAGCCTGCATTTGAATCCCTACTCTACAACTTGGATAAGTTGCTTAACATTTCTGTGCCTCAGTTTCCTCATCTCTATAATGGGGGTAATAATAGGGCCTACCTCAGACGATTGTTGTGTGAGAAGCAAATGAGTTAATATATGGGACACGTTCAGAGCAGTAAGTGCTCAATAAACATCAGATGTGATGACTACATACTGAGGATCCATCTGTGGGCACCTATCACCTCTAGCCCCTGCTTCTTTTTTCTTTTTCTTTTTTAATCTTCACCCAAGGATATTTCCATTGCTTTCAGAGAGAGTGGAAGGGGGAGAGAGAGAGAGACAGAAACATTGATGTGAGAGAGACAAATGAATTGGTTGCCTCCCGCTCGAGCACCGACCGGGGCCAGGGATCGAGCCTGCAATGGAGGTACATGCCCTTGGCCGGAATCGAACCCAGAACCCTTCAGTCCACAGGACCACACTCTAACCACTAAGCCACACCAGCTAGGGCTCTAGCCCGTTTCTGCCGCTTCCAGAGTCACTTCCTCCATCTCGCTATCTGTTCACCGTCCCACCCTAGGAGGTCACAGCCCTCTCCCGTTTTATTTGCCCCAAAGTACCACTAACAGTAGGAGGAAGCTTTTAGTAAACCTGACTGACATCTTGCAGTAACCAGGAAACAGCTACTTGTGAAAACTACCTGTTAGATCACCAGACTTTTGTCGGTGGCCTTCTCGAGCCTTCCTGCCCCCACCCCGCCTCCATCTGCAGGCCCCTCCTGGCCTCTGCTCCTCCGAGCTGCCTGCTGGCTGCCGAGTTACAGGGCTCTGGTCACATCTCACAAACAAATGTTCTCTTGGCCCTCACTCAGCATTAGCACCCCTTACATCCAGGTGTAACAATGGAAAATTATTACCCACCCACTATTCTTTTGACATTGTTTCTGTAAATGCTGACTTTAATGTGTGTAGCTTGTAGATAAACAGGATGTTTGTTTAAGAATCCTAGAACCACCTGGCCCGGGAGGCTCAGCAGTTGAGCATCGACTAAGATTCAGGAGATCAGGGTTCGATTCCCAGTAGGGGGCGTGCAGGAGGCAGCCGGTTAATGAGGACCCTCTCATCATTGATGTTTCTCTCTCTCTCTCTTCCTTCTTCTATCTGAAATCAATAAAGATATATATATTTAAAAAAGAATCCTAGGGGGAGGAGAAACAAGATGGCGGCGTAGGTAGCAGCGGCACCCGCCGCCTCCCGCAACCGCATCAAAATTACAACTAAAATCCAGAACCACCCTCACTCAGAGCCTCCTGGAATCTGGCTGCACAGAAGCCCCACAACCAGGGAGCTGAAGAAGCATCGAGAGCAGTAGGAGGGGCGCAGACTCGGGCGGATTGGGGCTGAATTGTGGCTGAATTGCGGAGACGCGGCCGCGGGCCCACACCTGGTGCCGTGGTTGAAACCCGGAAGGGAATCTCGGCGGCGGAGGTTTCCCGGAGGAGCGAGGGCTCCCAGCCCCACAGCAGGCCCTCAGCCCAGGGCTCCAGGGACGGGAAGAGACGTCCCCACAACTTCGGGCCGTGAAACTAGTGGGGACTGTCCCTGAGGGTCTCGGAGGCTGCGGGAGCCCCAGGCTTTCCTCTTAAAGGCCTGAGCACAGACTCACTCGGACGCTCCCTCTGAGCCCAGCAGCCTGAAAGGACCTGGGACACTCGGGGAGGAACTAACCTGCCTGGAATCGGGGCGAGAGCTGGAGGGGCGGCTTCCTCCCAGGCAGAGGAGCTGGTGGAGGCCATGGCTCCTGTGGCGAACCCTCCCCGAACACAGCTGGCAGGCAGGCGCCATCTTTGAATCGCCAGCACCTGACTCTCACCTTTGGCCCTGTCCCATGATTCCCGGAGGCCCCGCCCCTCCCACCTGCAGCTCATCCAGGCCATTTCCAGGGGCTTTTCTGTGCAAGTGGCCTCTCTAGCCTCATGCTTAGGACCTGTCTCTTATACACATCTAGATGTGTATAAGAGACAGTCTATAGCCTGAGGCTCATTAAGAGAA